GACGAAGGTATCGCTTTGGTAGTCTGCAACAGATGTTGGGGTTAACCTTGTCAATACAGCCATGTTGCACAGTGTACGTTGTTCTTGATTTTGGCATCAGCTAGCATGACCTTATCTACGACAGTTTAGAAGTGATCATAATGGTTCAGTGCATCGCTACAGGCTGACTGTTGTCCCGCGTGTTGAGTTGTAATCATTTATGTCAGGTTTTCACTGTAATGTGAACAAGTTTGATAAGATAACTTCTCCCCTCCCTTCCTATTCGCCATACGCATCCGTATATCAGACCAAAAATCTATGCTTTATTTACCTGTCATGTTTCACAAGCAAACAGTTAGCAGTCATTCCCTGCAGCCGTATGAGGTCGGTGAACCACGAGGCCGAAAATTCGGCCCAACTTCTTGTTCCAAAAAGTTCCTCTTTAGCTTGCACCTGCTCGTGAATGCCCAAGGAGTGCCTCCTGCAAATGAGAAGCCGCACGACCGTTGCGGTTTTTGGATTCATGAAAACTCCACTTTCCCGCGGATGTTGAGATTGTTAAAAATAAATTCTGCATACTGCGTTTTTTAAGGAACCCATCGATTTTAACGCAGTCAGGTGTAGTGCAATTTAAAATACGTGAATCTGGACTTTTAATAACGGAACAATATGCTCGTTACGTGCATTTCTTTAAACTTGATCTAGCGGTAGTTATCCTTCATAGCATACTTTCTTTTAATTCTATCTGCTGTTTAGATGTGAGCCATTCCATTTGCTTTTCATGTTATCAGCTGCGCCGTAACTTTATTTAAAAATTATGCGGTGCCGAAATGCATCTTTTGTGGTTTAATCTCAGTGACACACTTCTTAACAGCATCCTACCTCTCCGATGCGTCTTTCTCGCAGAAGCACAAAACAGCCGATTTGAATGAATTTCGGAAACTTTCACGCATTACTGAAATTTATTCTATGTTTTCAGTGCAGTTTAAACTCTTCGCCGGTTTAATGTTAGGTGTCAGGTCAAAAATCGATTCGAAATGGAACTAAAGATCCCTCACACGAAAGGTGGGCCTGTGCTAAACTCCAGGACGGGAACTTATTTTCGGGTTCCTGCCTTGATCACAATTCTAACTCCAAAACTGACTCACATGACACCACCACCAGCCCTCATAACCCTATTTTTAACCCTGACCTTAACTTTACCTCTAACCCTTACCGTCTGGAACTTAGCATAAGTACGCCTGTAACAGTGGAGCGTCCATATGCGCGCGCGCGTTAATATTAAATCATACAATAAGCCGACATCAAATTGAGACTGCCATTCGGCGTTGCCTGCTGATATTTAACCTGAAATTTTCATCTCCTTTTGGCGGCAGGCCCCGGGAAGGTGCTGTCGTCGAGTAATGCTGCTAATAAAGCCGAGGGTCCAGGTGATATTCATTTGTGTCGGCATTCTGTGACAAACCAACCGCATATTACGGCGCGTTTGATGCTAGAAAGTGGTTAGCAGTGGGCCGTAAATCAATTTTAATTCAAAGATGACTGATATCTTACAATTACATAGCCAAGATCTTCGTCCTTTCAAAACCATTATCTGAGCTCCTGTTTTGTTTCGTATTCAAAAAACGTGTGGTGTTTGAATAAGCGTTTATTGCCCTAATGGCATCCATTTTGTGCTGCAGGTAGAAATTGTGCCCCCAGTCAAATGTAAACCCAATGGAGGAAAATGCCGGCTAGTATAACCCACCACAATGGTTTCATTCTGGAGATGGAGTAGTCACGATAGCATCTGCCATATTCGCCTTCAGAGTAAAAAATGAATGTTTTTTGCTTATAGTACCAGCATACTGCACTTGGAATGACAGTTTTGCTTTTTGAATGTAACCTGTAATGAACATTACGTGGACAACTAGCAACTCGGCCAAATCTGTGAGATGCAAAGCAATTGCTGAAAATGTCAGACCTTTTTTAGGAAGACACGTTAACCTTTACTGGGCAGTGTAGTGGGAAAATAAGCATCTCAGTTTTATATTATTAATTTCCTCTTGTGTGATGAAAGCCGAATATGAATACCCCTATTATGTTTGTAGGTGGTGAGTAAGTAGCTTGTAAGGACTACAGAGCGGAATATATTCGCCCAGAGATCGCGGTGAAAAAAAGGCCTTGCAAAATCGGCGTTCCCATAGACTTCCGTTTTCTTAAGGATTTTGGGAAAATACGACTGTTTTTAAGTGAAATGTATACACTCCTATTAAAACAATTGAATAACACTTTTGGTATTATTGCGTACCTAATTTCGTTATTGAAAATAAAAAGGTGGGGAGAATGATATCATGGTTTGGCGTCCACCGTTTTGCCAATGATTGTGCCGCCCGGAATTGTTGGCTCCGAAGAAAAGTACGTTAATAAAGGTCCATTTATAGAACATTATTGCTGAGTTCTACTAACATCTAAATGCCTTGGCTACTCAAATCGTAATGAAGAATAGCATAAATAAAATTTAGAAAGGACTAATATCTGAACATAGAAGTACGGTTTTAATGCAACGTGACTGGGTTACTCATTCTAAAAACTGAAATTTAAATGATATTTCCTTTTTATTTTAGTAATGTGTAGGGAAAGACCCTCGCTGTGTTATACATGACCCTCCCGGGACCCTATGGTATGATTTGGTTGGAATTAAGGCTAAGAAGTTTAATTTTAGGGTGAAGGACAGCATTATGGTTAGGCCATAGCCATCGTTGCTATATCCAAGACTTCCGAGTGGTTAGTATTTCCGTTTGCGATGAGTTATTTTATTGGTAGACATAGATTAGCTTGGTAAATCATCTGTTTACATTCCCTTTAACGATCAAAATAGAATGAATCTTCTGTTAGGCATGAGGGTTTGAAAAAGTGTGTAGTGTACTGAGCAGTGATATGCGCTGATATTTCACTAATTCCTTCAGTAAGGTCAGTATAACATACGGGTACCCAACTTACCCTCTTTGGGGACTCCCTTTTCAGTAATAACAAGGGCTCGCGGGTTGCAAAATTTACGAGCGTAGAAAGTTACAGCAGAACGTGGTTTGGGAAATCGTTCGGCGCACAATTGGTCCTCTGTTCGCCAAAAGTATACGAATAGTGTAAAACTACCAATTCACTTATGCACGGGTTTGTATTTTTCGAAAACGCATACCGTCAACTATCTGGAAACATAAATCCCGCATTCAGCAGTCAGTTTGGCGGCTGATGATTTTATGAGCTAAAACAGATTGCTTTTTAAACAAGTATTTCATCAATAAAACCTAATATTTACGGGCTAGTAGATGTGGATTAAAATATCTTATTCTAGACTAAATTGCAAATTTCTGCTGAATTTCGGGAGACATCATTTAAGTTATTACGTTCAAAGATGCAAATTACATTGCTGACCGAAAGTCTGAATTCAAATCTAAAAACGTCGTGCTCTCTCTGAATTTGCAGTCAGGTGCAAAGCAGTTTTCTAAAAGATCGCGCCATTCGCTTTTACTATAAAGAATAAACTGTGGTGAAAAGGGATGCACAAATAGCCAGTTAAATAAATAACGGTTTAAGCATTAGTTCGGTTCATTTTAATCTAGGGGTTGAGATAAGTGTAATATGTTTGTGGGAAAGTGAGTTGTATCATGCATGACACACGTGATTATATTGGATTTTGGTTTTTCATTAACAGATAACTATGATATGGCACTTGAACGTCGAAGGATGACGCACGGTTATTTAAAAAATCAAGGATGTTAAACCTTGACGACTTTACTCTTTTGATTACTGTGTGTGAATTTCTCCTAACTTACCGATGTATTCCGTCCGAAAGGACATTGATGAAGTGCAATGTCTACTCCCACCCTAGGTCGAAGCGAACACGTCATACTGTTGTGGGAGTACTCCATTTTTTTCTCTGCCCGAACTAGTCACCAGGTTTAGAAAGAACATTTGACTTTGCCCAAATTAAAGCTGAACTAAACACCATAAATTGGGAATCAGCCTTTTCCGGTGATATAATCAAGGGTTGGGATTGGTTTAGTGGGTTACTGCACGTTCTTCTCAGAGACCACTGCCCTATTTCACGGAAGAAATTGAACAGCAGACCCCCCCTCGGCTAACAAATGCTTTGAAAAAAGAGGTGAATAAAAAAGCGGAGGTTATGGAGAAAATCCTTTTTTTGATATGAGCTATGTGACAATAAATGCGTACAAAGCACAGAGGAGCCTAGTTAGTAGGTTAATCCTCAGGATGCGGCGTACTTTAGAGAAAGACCTGCTGAATCGAGCCGCAGAAAATCCGAAGTTATTCTCTTGTTACATAAGAAGAAGCACACGAAAAAGGGACCCAAGCCCGTTCATGAAAACTAGTGACGACCTAGAACTCAGTGAAGACGGAGAAAAGGCAGAGCACCTTTCATTATTCTTAAGTCCATCTTTACGAAGGAAAGCGCATTTCTCCCTCCCGACTGCGACATAGTGGACGTGCCAACGATTAAGTACGTCTCTTTCGCCGAAGCTATTGCTCACGAAGAACTGTTGAAGCTGAATAAGTCTAAATCACCTGTGCCGAATGACATACCGCCCAATTGGTTGAAGGTGCTTGCTGGAGAACTATCTAATCCGCTGTCCATGCTCTTCTAAACTTCGTTCGAAGCAGGCTATTTGCCCGCCGATTGGAAATCCGCAAGGATCACGCCGATTTACAGAGGCGGCAGCAAGGTCTTAGCAAACAACTGCAGACCAATCATCCTTACTTCACTTTGCTGCAGAATTATAGAAAAAATAATTAAGCGAGAATTAATGCACTTCCTAAAAGAGCATAATCTGCTATGCGATGACCAGCACGGATTTCGTAGAGGCAGATCATGCGTGACAAATCTACTTTATTGTTTAGATCGCTGGACCCGGGCAGTCGATTGCGGCAATGCAGTGCACGCCGTCTACGTCGACTTTAAGAAAGCATTCGACAGTGTACCACATTAGCGTCTCCTGTACAAATTAAGCCGAACAGGCATAATGGGTAATCTCCTGAGGTGGATACAAAGTTTCTTGATCGGTCGCTCTCAAATCGTCTCCGTCAGTGACAGGCAGTCGGCGGAGGTAGTGGTTGAAAGCGGTGTTCCGCGAGGCTCCATTCTTGGCCCTACCCTATTCATTATATACGTCAACGACTGCGTCAGTGAACTGAATTGTGATGTCGCCATGTTCGCTGATGATGGTAAACTTTGGAGCGTCATCCGAACTGAATTTGACGAAGAGCGCTTGCAGGCAGACCTGACCCGACTCGAGAAACTCGAGGACTGGTTTTTGCCGTTTAATGTGACTAAGTTCAATGGTTTGCGAGTCGGCAGGATCCGATTTCTAAGCCGGAAGGTTAACTACCTAAATAACATACCATTGCAGGAGATAGACGCCCAGAAAGACTTGGGTGTTTGGGTAACGGCTTCTCTAAAGCCGCCGCTCCACTGCTCCAAGATAGCCAAGTCCGCGATGTCAGTCCTTTATCTTGTCAAGAGATCTTTCTCTACCTTCGATGAGGACTGCTTCGTCAAAGCCTTCCGGACTTTCGTACGGCCACAGGTACAGTTCGCTATTCAGGCGTGGAAACCCTGGACCTCTGAAGATCTCAGCATTCTTGAGAAAGTTCAAAGGCGGGCAACCAAACTCGTAAGTGGACAGGGTTCACTACCCTATGAAACCCGATTGTCCAATCTCGGTCTCTTTCCACTGAGTTACAGACAGCTAAGAGGCGACCTTATACAAACATTCCGTATACTGCGCGGCCAGGACTGCTGTCTCGTACCTACTGATTTCTTTGAGTTGGCGACCACAACGAACCTCCGAGGTCATCCACTTAAACTACGCGTAACTGGCGCCAAGCTGGACATTCGGAATTTCTTCTTTTCAAACGGCGTGATCGAGGCCTGGAATGCTCTGCCTACAGATGTCGTCATGTCCACCTCCGTCGAGGCTTTTAAGCGCGAGTTGGACCAGTGTACCACCAAACGTCATAATGCCACCTGACCGACAACGTCTAGCATTTCGTTCGAATAGTTTATTAAGGTTGTTATACCACTGCCTGTATTTCAGTAATATTTGGTTTTTATTATTGTCCCATGTCTGTTCAATGTTTTTTGGCATCTAATTCGTCTCCTAGATACTGAGATAACACCAACTATCCATGGACAGACTACTGCGCAGCACACTTAGTAAATTTAATGTTTTTAACTCTTGGAACAATTCGTTTATCTGTCTGGCTTCGAAAATTTTGCCAATCTGAAGAAACTCTGTAGCTGTTTGATGTTTCCATTTTGCAATTTTTGATATAATTCGCTTTCTTGTAACAAATAGGGAGTTCAAAGGTTCGAAACCTATATTTCCCTCAAATCCACTGAAATGGACTGAAAAAGTACACCTATTTGTATTTAAGAGCGACTTTTCTTAACCAAGAAGTCGTATGTATAGGAATTTAATTTAAAATCTACGTGCGGAAAACAAAGTGTTAATGACTGTGCAAGTGAATATTTTATTTTGGGTGAATGCTTGAGTTAGAAGGATCAATCCTGCCTTGATTTTATTTAAAGAAAACCGCGCCAACATTTGAAAACTGAGTTCTTTACACTGACGCAACATAGATTTAAATAAAGACTTGAATAAAATTCCAAATACTAAATTGATCCAATTGGTAAAAATGGCATTCAAGCCTTTGTTAGCTATCCAGAGCGGAGTTTGATTATCACGACTTTTTCGGATCGTATCAAACGCGAAGTCAACCCTGAGAAATGTCAATCAATTAACCCTGGCATTATCGTCAGCAACATTTAATACCAAAGATTCTTGTTAAGCGTCTGTAAGGCAACATCTGTTTAGATCGATTCCGCGCATGCTTGATATAAACACACATTCACGCACTGTTGAATACCACTCGGAAAACAAAACTAAACGTCTCAAGCTCAGCAGTAGTGTGAAAGTGGATATGCATTCATTTGTTGCCAAAGTTTGCAGTCAGTGTGGTATCACATAAAACGTTAACCAAAATTCTGAACTGCGTTTTTTTCAAAATGTCAGCTAGTAAACGGGCTGCTTGAGGACCGTCGGCAGAAACTGTGCACTGTGAAACATAGACATCGATTATGTACGGATTGTTCTCATTGATTTTCGCTGGCCTTATAAATTCCAATATATTTCATAGAAAACCTGTACGAAAATAATTGCTGTTTTGTTTATTTGCTATAACGTTACGTCCTCTTCAAATTGTCCGCTTAAAGAAAGTGCATCTTCTGGCCTTAAAACGGCTTTAAATTATGCGGCTTTTAAAACACTGGAATGTACACTCTCAAAACATTGTCACTTTACGTCTATTAATTTTGCTCACAAATTAACCAACGCATTTCGAATCCATTGCAAAATCTTACATGATTTATGTGGAGCCTTCCCACTAGTGTATATAATATGTATGATATTTTTATACAGGAAATATGCTTCTTGTAGTTTGGAACCCCATTAAATGGGACCCGTGACTACATCATAAGTGTGGTGGTCAAATGTAAACTCCAGTGCGATGAAAGGCGACTAGGGAAGACATGGAAATAAAATTCTGAGGGAAGGAAACCCCGTCGTGCCACATAATTGTCCTTTCCCTCAAACAGTTATGGCATATGAAAGACACTTGTTCAGAAGATGAAGATGCGATCACTGGGACAAGAAGTTTATTTGCCTGACGTTTCGGAGTCTCACTCGAATCCATCATCAGAGACATTCGCAGATGACACTTGTTTTGGTTCACTGAGAAGAGTATGAAGATATATGCAAATCTGCTGAAGATGTCGCAACGATATCCTGGATTACCTATAGGAGATATGTCCCCAGCCCAGCCTATTATTAAGTGGAGGGCATACGCAAAAAGTGGCTTTTTCACGTGGTAGCTGAAAATTCCAAACAGCTGTATTTTTCTTAGTAAATAAATACGTGAGAATGGGAGCATTGGTAAACATTTAAGTTTGCATTCGCCAGTCAGCCGCATCATAGGTCCGAGTAGAAGTGGATAATTGGAGGTAATATCGCAGTCCTTTCAGATGTCTCATGTACCCTTTTCTTTGGGTTGTATTATAACGACTGGTGTATCACAGTTTGCCATTTTGGATTTCTCCCAATGAGTCGTTAATACGCGTTGGATATTGACTCTGAAGCTCACGGCGAATACATGCTTACAGTCCCACTCGTATGTTTAAGGACGAGCATTTATATCTGCCATTGTGAAGAAAGAATATATTAATGCAAGCGGCAGCGACATGTATGGTTATTCCAATTTCGACAACCAGAAAGCCAACCCCTAGCTTGACGCTCGCGTACAAGGCTAAAATTATCGGTGGACGAGAGGGTGTTCTATGGGACCTGCGTTTTTTGGCCTGTGGCTGAAGAATTTCTGACTGAAAACGGTATTTAGTGGTTGCTCGTCGAGGCCATTACAATGGGACTAGAGTTGCAATTAGAATGAAATGGAATGTTTGCGTCTGGCAATCAAGAGAGATCCGTGAAAGAATCCTTAATGTTGCTTACTTACTATAACAGTTCAGTCAATGGTAAGGAGAACTATTTTCAAAGAGCTCTGTGTGGTAATTTGTTGCCCAAAAGGCTCCTTCCTAATAGTTGTAGAAAGTACATTTCGAAAAAATGATCACATAGGTGGTGTAAATGTCTCTCACTAATTTACAATATCTCAATAGATTCAAATATCTTATAAGAAAAACTGACACAAAAATAATCTCTCGTGTGTCCATTTTGTATAAAGTGACGTCTTTTTTAATTTTTTTCACCCGAAAATAGTACGTTTCAGCTTCAATGAAATTTAAATTACGAGGTTTTTAAAAGCCGTTAAGACCAGCATCTTTCTAAGCTCCTACTCAATGCTGCTTGCTGTATACATTTTTTATGGCACTTCAAGAAAAATACTGGATTATTATTTTTTGCAGTTTCACTGAAATCATTAATTTCGTGTATTGTCTATACCAGGTTTTTTCTGATAGACGCTGCCGACATGCTGCCGTAAATAACCATTTATTTCTGTCCACGAAAATGACGTTTGAAAATTGTTACGTAAGCATTCCACGATTCCTTGAATCCCAAATCTGATAATTCCAGTAACAGTTAACGTGAGTCTTCAACAAACAACTTCGAGGACGTATTTGCCCTAAATTTTTCCCCTTTATTTGAGGCCCAAGCAGTAGTTAAGGTAGTAGTTGCCTCACATATACTCACCTTGCATTGTTTTATGTTTAGATGCAGATACATTAAGCATCAAGCATATCCACCGCTATGCAATCTTGCTTATATCGGAAGCTATGACGAAGGAATTTGATTTGAAGCCACGTTGGTTATGTGAATGTCCTAAACAACCCTGCGATTTCTGCTTGGCCGTTAAGAGGATAATGAACCTTAAATATAATTCCTGTTTAGTTTGGCAGGTCGTTGGTTTTCGACTTAAAATGCTGAAAGTGTCGTTCCATTTTCGCATTTTCTCCTAGTTGTTGTTTGAACCGATGACACTTTTGTCGTGCGCTCTTATCAGCTGTAATGGTCTTAAACCGCCCTGACGGACTCATTTCTCGCGATGTTTGATTTGAGCTGGAAGTTAGCCCATGCCTTTTTAAAACATATTTCCTATGGAAAATTTTCAATGGGTAAACTGCTCACTACTACGGGTAAGTTTGGCTGACTGTCGGTGTCGAAAATCCACAAACGTATTAAAACCGACTGTGAATTTTAACGGGGTGCCGAATATATCTTAAGACTTAAACATGCACTGAGAAAATGCATATGCGATTAATTATGACAGTGAACAGTTAAATGTGTACCTTTTTTTACGACACCCAAAGTAGTGGTTTAAGTTTTCCTTAAAGTAAACTATAACACAATATTTCTCCTGAACACTCTGAATTATCGCCTCGGAAAACGGTCATCCTACGTTAATTGGACAGACTGAGGCATTTTCTTATGATAAGGGTGTTCTTACGGATAGTATCTACCAGAAATGTTACGGCACTCTGAATTCGAAACTATTTTTTTTCAAAAGTTTCGCGTTGATGGTAAAAAACTCTTAAAATATATGTCATTTCTGCATAGCATATGATTTCTAAATATAAAAACAGGATTAAATCTAATTTATTTTTCTTTAAAATTTTAAGATTCTTCTGGACACCCTCAAAGCGTAATATAAACAGCGGAGACATAGGCAGCCAAAAAAAATTTCGGCTGCCTTCATACAACTGTGCAAATGGTACGCGGACCGTGTCCATGAACACAATGAGCTTCTGCATAGATAACGGAACCTATCTTTGAAAATAAATGAATACTTTTTACGATTTGTATGTGGATTAGGACACAAGTACAACACAAGTCCGCAGCCCCATACCACTAGTATGGAAACCGAAACGAACGGAATCAATAGCATTTCATACTGTACTGAAAATATATCGATGAACGCTCTCCTGATGTGTATGCTCGGCAGATAGCTGACGCGGGGCCCTACTGACAGACTATACAGTTGAGATGCTTCAGCTCGCAAATCAGGTTTTTTCGACCTTGGGCTGGTGCGTCACTGGTAGTTCATTTTTCTAGTCCTTGCTGACGCATGTTCATTCACTCCTGCAGTTAGCGGCTCCAGACACGCTCATCTGAAGCCACTCGACAGACTTCAGCTCGAACCTTAGGGTATACGAGCTGCGTACGCAAGGTGGTTGTGGGCTGGTGTGTCACATGTATCTGATGCTTTTTCAGCTGTCTGTCGACGAGTTCAGATGCATTTTACACGTATGGATGGTTCGCCAGGTGGATGTATTTGGTGCCTAGGCGGCCATAGTTTTCTAAACACCTTTCTGTTTGAACGCATGTTTCACGCAATGACGTATAAACGGGCGCGGATACACGTTGTGGGAAAATAATTTGAAAAGATATTTCATTTCTGCTTGATAACTTTGTTCATCAGAGCAGTGTTGTTTAGCTCAAGTTAGCAGGCTGCCGACAGT